TCAAAATTTTCATTTCAAATTCATTTTCGCCTTTTTGGCCGTCGGGGGGTCGGATTTTGCATCGGTCGTTTTTGGGAGCCGCAGACCATTCCCGCGTGCTTAAAATCACTTATTACGTTTGCGTGCATATTCCTTTCAGCCTAAAAGTGCATTTAGGGTCAAATGTATGATTGATGCAAACTCACATTTTTGTCGTTTTGAACCTAAACTGAGCATAAGGGGTTTTCACATGAAAAATAAATGTTGGTCTTGACATGGTTGACTAGAAAACATGATTTTAAGGGGGGCTACTTCACAACTTTTTTTTTCCAAAAAAGGCCTAGAAAGTCCTCAAAATCACATTTTAAACTCAGTTTTCTGTTAAGCCTTCAGCAGAACGAGCGCTCGAAGATGTCGCACGAGCGCTCGAAGTTGGGGCAAAGAGTTTTGGCCCTTGGGCGTGTGTTGTACAAACGCTTGAAGCCCTTGCACGAGCGCTCGTGGTACTATTCATGCGTGTGTGTGTTTGTATCTTGGTTCAGCACTGCACCTTCGACTTCAAACTATCATATCTTTTTCGTTTTAACTCCGAATTGGTCCGTTCTTGAGTCTAAATTGACCGCGTTGAAATAATATTTCCAATGGTACCAATTAGAGTTTCAGATTCTTCTTGTATCTCAAGATATTCAACTTTTAGTAAGGTAGTGTATGTTGGTTCGAACCGAGATAGGGTTTCCCTTCCTTCGACTTCAGAACTTGATATCTTTGTTGTCCGGATTCCGAATCATGCGATTCTTGAGTCTATTCTTGTTGATTTTTCATTATCTTTCTAATGGTATGCTTGGTAGCATCTGTTTCTCTATGAAATGACCATTTTACCCCTTGGTTCATTTCTCTTCGGATTTGGCATTCTTGCTTCATTGTTTGGCTCATTTGAGTTCCATAGCTTTATGTGGAGTCATTTTGGTGCCTTAAGGATGACGTACATCTCCAAAGGTCACCTTTCTTCTTTTGCTTCCGCATTTTGGATCTACTTCGGGTCATCACAGGACACACTGGGTTGAAAAATTCAGGGTCGTCACATGTGAAATGTGGACATGCACGCAAACGTAAAAAGACATTTAAGACGCGTCCCAATAGTCCGCAGCCTCAAAATGTCCTAAATGCAAAATATGACTGCTCAACGGCCAAAAATGCCTTAAAATGCAATAAATGAAACCAAGGTGCGAAACTAGAACAAAATGGTGTTTAGCCCTTGGCCACACCTCATGCATGATCACAGAAATTCTACGAAAGAAAAAGAATGGAATTCTCACACCCGATGCAAACATGTTGAGGCAAAGACTTAACATTTTTTAATATTTTCATAGTGAACTTTAAAAACGAAAGTGCCTAGAATACATATTTGAATGCCATTGGCCTATGGCCTCAACTCATACATGTCAAATACATTGAAAAGAGTGTACTTATGTACACATTACATATATGGAATCAAAGATACAAGTTTCAATATACAAGGCTACAAAAAGACATTCCATGTTAACATTTGCATGAAATGGAAATTTAAAAGTTACAAGTCATCCAAGGAATGATGAGCATCACAAACCAAGTCTTCATACCTGAAAATATCCCAGTAACTTCGGGGTGAGTAACATAAAGCTACTCGTAGGAAATGGGCATGCATAGACCTAACATGCTACAATAATATCACCTTAAGGTGAAACATGTTAAAGGGACTCATGCCACCTAACGTTTATGTCAAAATGAGACTCAGGAAGCATCCTAAGCTACCTTAGAGTGTAATCAACAAGAATCATGATACATATACATATATGAAACGAATCAAGGTTGGGATAATCCAAGGAACATGATAGGATGGATACTTGAATATAAATCAACATGAATTGCATTATCAACACAATTAAGCAAGGTTTGGAATAATCCAAACAACATGACAAGAAGGGTACTTAGATATAAGTTGACAAAAATTACATTATCAATGCAATTAATATGATTGGAGCATTTCAATTAACACGATAGGGATAATACATGAAATCAAGAACATGACATAATATCTATGCAATTAACAAGATTGGGCATTTCACATAACACGACAAGTTTTAAATCTTCAAGGAATAGCAACTTGAAATTTAAAGAGTGAAATCAACCACTGTGGAAACTCGAATATCGCCCGAATTAAAACCGTACTCTTGGGACCACTTTAGGGCTACTAACCCATGGGTACCTTCCCCTAGTGTGCACTATAGTGTAGGGAACTCTCTATCTCCCGTACTAGAACCATGTCCTAACCATGTCAAATCTTGATTGATATCCCAGGTCCCAAAATCAACAAGTTGTGCAACCAAGAGTGTATCAAAATACAAGTAATGCATTAAACCACATTTCATGTACAACCAAGATTTTGGAACACACTAGTCATTCCCTAAGTTCTCAATTATGATAGCATGTGAAATGTCAAGAAATCATAGTGTGCATCTATATAGATTAGAACCAAGATATATAGCATATGAAATCTGTAAATATACCACAAGTATAATATTAATGATTCAATTATTTACTACGCAACACATGAGTAATTAAACCATTCCAAGACAATATTGTAAGATCATTAAGTACATTAATGAAACCAAGTTACAAGGGTCATGATGCTTGATAAAAAGATAAAAGTCCATGTAATACAAGTCCGGTTTATAAGTTTAACAAAGATTTAAAATCAAGGTATGATTAACTCGATGGAAGCTTAAAAGGGAATTTAATTTACTTAAGGGATTAAGTTCTCAAGATTACAAGGCAAGTCCACATTCTACGAGCAAATTATGTCAAGGATCATGTCATGGACAAGTTCAATATCAAGTTACAAGTTCATTTCATACAAGACACAACAATGTGAATTAAGCTCCATACAAAGGAAATAAATAAATGTAAGTCTCAAAACTTATCCGATCATTTTCAAACTGATACACGTGAATGAACTTGTCAAGAAAATCATGAATACCAAGTTAGAACTTAATCAAGCTCATAGAATTATTGAATGGATTTTAATTAATTCTCTAGATTTTGAAACTCATCCAAATGATCTCAAATTAATATATGTTATACAACATGTCAAGACTTGTTTTAAAAACATGATACAAATGAATTCCATGCAAGGTACGGCCATGAGTATTAAACTTTAACACTATAAAATAATTAAATGAAAGGTTTCAAAGCCTAATCAAATATTCCCGATTTAATATATATATATATATATATATATATATATATATATATATATATGAAAGTATATGGCATGCACATCAATAAAATGAAGTCAAAAATCCAATAGAGTGAATAGTGCACTTGGAATAAAATTAATTAATCTAATTAATTAATTATTACTAGATTTTAAAACATCTCCGATTACTCTCAAATTCATCTATGTTGAAGAGCCTGCTAGGGCCTAATATAATATGACATCACATATTAATTTCAAGCTAGATAAGGCCATATGAATTAAATTTTCATTTTAGAAAAATATTAATTAAAATCTTCAATACTTGTTCAAATGCTCTCAATTTAATATATGTCAATGAACATATCAAGGGTAATATAATTCCATACCACATGTTTAAACCAATCTATAATCAACCGGGAAAATCAAATCTCATACAAGAAAAATAAATAATAAAATTTCTAAATTTGATACCAAAGCATGTAAATAAGTTGCATAAACATCAATAGCATGCAATACTTCAAGAACATAAACTATAACACCCCCTATCTCAATTTGAGATGGAAATCTCAAATCCCCACCGAAAGAAAAGTGTTCCGAATCCGACGATACTTCGGGGTTTTGTCGGAGACAACACGATGATCATTAACCCCAAGGAAGCCCCATGGAAATCACGACTTAACCTCAAACCCAAACTCACAAAATAGTCAGAAATGGGTTCTAATAAGGGGGAAAGGTGTGCGTCGTCAAGGCGAACACAAAACACTAAGGTACTACAACGTTTTACATGAGGGAAGAGCTTCAAAGGAAGAGAGAGAAGGTGGCAGCCATGACTGCCATGGAATCTGGCCAAGAGAGGGGAGGAAGATGATGAAATCTGATTTTTTTATTTAAGACCCCCTATTTATAGAAAAACTCAAAAAAAATGCTCTGAACGGGTTCCGCCAGGTTCGAAAAAGTGAAATTTGAGCAAACGCGCTCAAACGGTGAAATTCTGTGAACAGAAAAGAACCAATATAAGTAAATATGAACAACGGAAGAAACGACGTCGAAAATTGAGTCCCGAGTAGAGAGATATGCTCCGAACAAGTTCGGCGGTAACCGAGGCCAAAAACCCTGAAACTGGAGAAAAATGACCAGAAGGAAATTCTAAGAGTACAGGACTAGACAAAATGTGAAAGTGAATTCTGTATGAGGATCCAGGCTCAAAACGAGGTATTTTGCAATAACTTTCGTTAATTGCATAATGGCCCCTTCAAAAAGGTTTAATTGCACTAATGACCCAGATTGAAAATATCTTCCAAAAATATTTTCTTAAAAACACCTGAAATAAAATATCTTTAAAAGATATTTATGAAAAACATCCCAATAAAAGAAAAAGATTCTGAAGAACTGTGCATCCATGCCCCTATAGACACCGGGAGCAACCAGAGTATTTTTCTACAAAAGTAAAGATACGTATTTCATGAAAACCACTTAGGATGAAGGCACGTGAAGTCACAAACCAACTCCACGCACAAAAAGTGAAATTGTGCCAAAAAGTGATAAACGGGGAAAAGACAAAATAGGGAAAAGGACGAAAAGTGAATAATGTCAAAAAAAATAAAAATGTGAAAATGACTCGGTCCTTAAACAAAGTTGTCAATCCAAATGAAAAAGTCTCAGAAATCATTTCTAAGCACTTGAGACGACACCAAGTGACAAGAAACAGAACTCAAAAAAGGAAATTAAAGGAAAAAAAAATTTCCATAAAATTTGAGAAAAGGAAAGGGAGGAAAATGACCGGGTCATTACAAAACCTCTATTTGTGAATTCTCACACAGGGATGGAGAACTCCTACATGAAGTGTGGGAGAGATTGAATGATTTTCTTAGGAAGTGTCCACATCATGATATTCCAAAATGGCAATTAGTGCAATACTTCTATGAAAGCTTATCGGAAACCCATAAGGGTATGGTAGATACTTCGTGTGTTGATTATTTAAAAGTATGAGTGAAAATTCTATGCATAGATCGTTATCATCTAGCAATCAAGCATCTTCCTCTCCCCATCATCATTCCAAAGAGATGTGCATGACATGTTCTAGTGTGCTTCATAATATTTCTAATTGTCCTCATGGATATGTTCAAAGTGAGCAACATGAACAAGTAAATGCCGCTTTCACAAATCAAGGGAACAATCCATTTTCTAATCAATAGAATCCGGGATGGAGAAATCACCCAAACTTTTCTTGGAAAAACCAAGGGGTTAGTGCAAACCCTCCTCAAAATCAAGGTTTCCAAGCTAAGTATGTTCCCCTTTATTTGCAAAATTCCAATTCTCAAGGTTATCGTCCATTTTATCCATCTCAAAATGTGAATCAATACTCTCATCCTCAAAGTTCCAATCCTTAATCATATTCTCAAGGTCCTTCTAGGAACACCGCTTTTAAAGAAAAAGTCTTGTAGGCTTTAGGTACCTTAGAGGCCAATACTCAGTTGCTTCATTCCCATTCTCAATCAATAACAAAACTAGAAACCCAAGTAGGACAAATAGCTAGCACTTTGAATGCCAAAGAGAAAGGGAAAATGCCTCTATAACCCGCACCTAATTAGACGGCCCTGGTTTTTCAAGCCAGTGTGTTCTGTGATGAACTGTAGTTTGACCCGATAACGGATCCGAAATGCAGAAGCGAAAATAGAAAACAAGTCTCTAGGGATATACAACATCCATAGGACACCAAAGTTACCTTCCATGAGACCATGGAACTCCACGAGAACTGACGAGGAAGAAAAGATCAGAAAAGACCAAATAAGCCCCTAAAGGCAAAATAGTCTTTTTACATGGAAGCAACATTTCTGGAAATGTACATCATTCCCAAGACACATCCATGACTTTGAATTCAGAAGAAAGCATAGCGGAAGCAAAATAAAAAGAAAAACAGAAAAGTTTAGCCCCAAGGGCAATCTGGTAATTTTTCGCAAGGTTTGAGAGTTACCGAGCACACCATTGGAAAGATGATAAAAAAAATTAATCAAGTTAGACTCAAAAATCACTTGATTCAGAGTCCAGATGAAAGAAAAAAGTCAAAACAAAGTTTTGACGTCGCTGCGGCTGTGAATAGTATTTTGACAGTAATGAATAGTGTTTTTTACTACAGTAAATAGTGTTGGGCAGAAAAATGGTGAAACCGGGTGCCGTTTTGAGGCACTAAACGACTTTTTTTGGAAAAACACGAAGAAAAAACGCCCCTCAAAATAATTTTTCCAAGCTAACCATGTCGAAAGAAAATTTTATTCTTAACATGAAATCCCCAAAATGTCCTTAAAATAGACTTTTTCAAAGAATGCATGTGTGCACAAAAAATTAGATTTGACACGGGGTTTTCAAGACCGAGATGGAATTTTCTGGAAAAATGTTGTGAATAAACCCCCCCTAAAATCACGTTTTCTATGTGAACATATCAAGTCCGGAATTTATTTTTTAAAAACAATTCCCAAAATGCCCATAGATCATATTAGGTCAAAAACGATAATAAATAAATAAATAAATAAACAACTTTGTACCAAGTGTTCATTCAATCCTAAATGGTGTTGTGTGCTAAAATATCATGCACGAAAATGTAAATAGTGATTTTAAGTGCGCGAAAATGGTCCACGACTCCCAAAAATGTCCGATGCAAAACACAGCCTATCCGAACCTCAAAATGCAAAGAAAATGCTTTAAATGGAAAACTTGAGACCAACAAGCATCCATTTCATACAAATGTGATATTTTGTGCAAGGTTAGCATTCACACAAACATAGTATACATATTTACATGCATTCCAATAGCCTACGGCCTCAATAGTCGCTAAATACAAAATATCACCTATTAAATCTCAAATTTTGCCAAAAATGGCTTTTAAAAGAGAAACTTGAAACTAAAATTATCAAATGGTCCCAAAAGTCCGTTTGGCCATTGGCCACACTTGATTTATAATTAAAGGGAACCTATGGAAGTGCTAAAGTCTACTTCCTACCACCCATGCAAATGTAGTGATGCTAAAACATGCCATTTTTCTATTTTTCAACATTATAACTTGAAAGTAAAAGTACTTAGGATACAAAATAAATGTCATTGGCATGGCCTCATCTCATACATGTCAAATACGTCACAAAAGGTTTACTTATGTACACATTACATATTTAGAACCAAATATACCAGTTTTGACATAAAAAGAAAAAAAATAGCATTTCATGCTAACATTTGCATGAATCAAAATTTTCAAGTCTACAAAGCATCCAAGGCATGATGTGCATGCCAAATCAGGGTTCCTATACTTGAAAAATATCCCCACTACGTGGGTGAGTAACATAAAGCTACTCGTAGGAGATGAGCATGCATAGACCTAACATTTTATTGTTTATTAAATTGATATAAATCAATACAAACAGTCCATGCCACCTAGCGTTTATGTCCAAGGTGAGACTCAAGGAGCATCCTAAGCGACCTTAAAATATTTCTAGTGTAAACTACATCATTCACGTAATTTAGGCAATATAGAAGCATGCGGTACACGCAACAAGATATTCAATATAGAAGTAAATGATGTGTGTTTTATTTATCAATAATAAAATACCACTCGCAATAGAACGAATCCTTGTAGGATAGGGCTATGTTGAGGGTGTCGAACCTCACGGACTGTGGTGGTTCATCGAGTCTTCAATTAATTACTATTTTAATTTAGAAGGAAGATTTGATTTACTGTGTTGTGAAGCAAGTCAATAACAGAAAAGAAAATAAACGCAAGAAAGGGATTGAGATCAAGAGATAGAAATACTTAGGGATTGACTTCACCACGAGCCTCATACTATGGTCAACTGTTCAACCTTGGGATTTCAATAATTATATATCATATGGAATTAAACTCAATAACAGTCATTTAATTCAAATTAAAGAAAGATGTTTCATGAATTTCAGTTAATAATAACCTATCTTCGGTTCTCACGAGTTATCTACCTACCTACTTCTAACTAATTTTGCAGTATAACTCGTCTTCCCTAGGCATAGATTATGAAAACATTCATACATGAAAAACGTTTGAACACCGTTGCATGATCTCCATTCTTATATTCGACAGGGCTCCGCCAGATATCGTCTAATAAGAATAGGTTGAATATAATTTAAGAATAATTAAATTTTTTACAAGGTATTAATTATTCAAAAACTATTTAATCATTAAAAATCAATTGAATTAAGCAATTGCCCAAAATCAAGCAATCAAAATACATATTATATTAAATTCCTAAAGTATAGAACAATCAAACCATAATATTCGGATTCGGGCTACATCAAAGCCCCAAGATAAGAATTAGCTACTCATGACGACGCAAGATATCATTTGTGTTATTGTGGTCTTCATCGCTATGGACCACCAAAACTCCTTTGGGATCTTCTTCTTCAAAACCCTAAAAGCCGTAGTGAGAAAGAGATAATGGATTCTTTGATATGATGGCCATGTGCCTCCTTTTATAGAAGAATTAACTTCTAATAAGGGTTGGACGGGCTTTTAGGTCTTTTGGGGTAATCTGGGCCCATAAGGAAACAAAGAAATATGATTTTTGGTCATTTCTGCATGTATTTACGACTTCCAGGATGTCCAGGCTTGAGCTTCAAAGTCCAAGGCTCGAGCATTGAGATTCAGGCTTGAGCATTTAGGTTCAGGCTTGAGCATCACCTGCCAGTAAATTGTTCTGACTTTGTAACGTGATTTTGACCCATTTAGAGTACGAATTTGGAGATGGCTATTAGAGGCAAAACTATTAGACTTCGAGTCTTTTTTCCATAGCCATTAAGTTTGCTCAATTTAGAGTTCTGAATAAAAAGTTATGGCCAAAATACTAAAATAGGTTTAGAGTTTTCAACCATGCTCGAGCATGAAGTGTTAGTGCTCGATCCTTTTGATTCGTGCTGGAGCCTCAAAGCTGATGCTCGAGCTCTAGGATCAAAAATTGTCTGGAACATCTTTTTATTGATGGTGCTTGATCATTTTTTCATGGTGCTCGATCCCAAGGTGTTGGGCTCGAGCTTTGGGGCTGTAGGCTCGAGCTTTAGGTGTTGATGCTCGATCCTTGAGGTCTGGCACGAGGTCTGGAAGCTTGGAAATCAATTCCTCCAAATTCCGAAGCCTCATGCTCGAGCTTGAGGGTCAAGGCTCGAGCACCCTTGGTTAAGGCTCGACCACCCTCTGGTCAGGCTTAAACATCATTTGTTCAGGCTCGAGCCTGAAGGTACAAGGCTCGAGCTTCAATGCCTTATGCTCGAGCTTTGGATTCTGACTTTTTCCAAACTTCACCATTTAAGCTCTCAGCTTGCTTTGAATAATCGGCAATGACGCAATAAACTTCATTCTCAATCTTTTCATCATAAAACACAAAATAAACATAAATCAGTATAAAATAGGATAGATGTATCACTTTAGGTCTTAACATATGTATATTTAGGGGTTCGAATATGCAATATTCAACGCTCATCACCCCCAAACTTACATATTGCTAGTCCCTTAACAATACAGAACTAAAAAACCGCTTTCGTGGAAATCACAGTTGTATTTAACCTATGCAACTAGCCTTTAAACCAGTGAAGATATCCACAAACTTCTCAAATCAGTGCCTTAATTGCACGATAAGCTTATTCAAACCTGTTTTCATATCATAATATCCCAACAATGCATCAATCAGTCAACTACAACAAGTATAAGGAACTATATTAAACAGAAAAAATCTCCAACTCTCAATATCATATCAGCAGCCATGGTCCCCATTTGTCAGTTTAATCACATGTTTAACAATCTCGATCTCCAAAATCCTTTTTAATAATAAACTTACAATTTTAAACATGTAGCCTACCATCTATACTTACATCTAACTCATGT